TTTCTTCCCAAATGTAGGTTGTTCAGCCTTTAATATAAGGCTTATGATGTAGATACTCAGAAGACACAAAAGCTGGTGTGTTTAAATGTTTATTTCCACCCACCCCGCCCCCCCCCCCAAAAGGCACATGATGGTATCTCTTTTGGGTTTGACTTCAAATATAGGACTGAGTGCTTTTCACGAAATTCTGTTCATGGAAACCTCTGAATTTTCTTGCCTGCTCTATCTCCCTCCTGGATTCCAATGAAGTCTGGTAGCAAATGGCATCTCCAGCAAGGAGACATTCTTGATTGTTGCTTGGTGGTATAAAAATGAACTATTTCTGCTACTATGAGAGGAGACAGAACATTATTATCCCATCACACACACACACACACACACACACACACACACACACAAACACCCCCCAGTTCTCATGGATGTTATAAACATATACTTGTGAATAAAATACTTTGCATTGCCTAGTCTATGAAAAAAGTCAAACCAGCTAGTTTTTAACTTTCCAGTTGATTTAGATCTTCAAGACAAATCATTCTGACCCAGGCTCTTTGTAGGCTCTTGAAATAATAGAAATGCTGGAAGATAAGCAACAGAGCTGAGGTCTTGTTTGGGGTATTTTTGTAACACAAATTTAGTTCCACTAGGAATGTGTATATTCAACCTGACATATGCACAACAGACTGGAAAGATTTTTTTTTTTTAAACTTCAGTAGCTCTTGATTCCTAGAGATAATTTAAGACTATAAGAGTATTGCTTCTTAAACTTTTATTTTTGGAACCTCTTAATCTATTTGTAACAGAGAACAAGGTCATAGAGTCCCTACAAGCTTTATCCTTATTTCCTACAAATCTTATTACTGTTCCGGAGCACAAGCAGTCAGTTATGTCCGAGTCCTGGATATTCTGGTAAGATCCAGAGATGTATTAACTGTTGTGACAGGGGGACAATGAATTGTAGTGTTAGGAATGTCTCTGCCAGAACAAGTTTCTAGCTTAGTGACTGCATGCCACAGGCAGTGCTGTGTTAGTAACCAAAAGCCCTTTGAACGAGGAAAAAAGTACTTTCATGTGGTCACCTGTGTTGTACAGTAGCAATAAAGTAGTTGGCAACCGGTGAAGCTGGCTTTTCCTGTTTGCTGCTTAACTCAGACAGAGCCACAGGGCTACACTGCTGCTCAGGGTCAGGATTTTGATGAGGAAGGAGCAGGATGAGTTCCATGTGGGATGCTGCCCACACTGCCCTCTATTACCCTCCCTTAGCAAGGCATCCAAAATCCATAGGCAGATACTTGGAACAACAGACTGGGCAAAGCACACAGGTAAAGCAACAAAGGGAAAACTGAGAGGAAAGTGCAGAAAGCCTTGGATCAGTTGACAAAAGCACTTGAAGATGCCAAGTTGCATATTGAGAAACTATTTTCCTGGAATTTAGTAATAAATTAATAATGCAATAATAATTCATAAAACAAGATTTCATTTGTTGCCTTCCTGAAAATGTGATGAAAAATAATGTAGTGTGTGATCGTAAATGTAGTATGTCATAATAAAAATTATGACTTCTGTTTGACCATTTTAAGAAATAAAGGAAACAACCTGGCTATGTGTTTTTTTTCAGAGGAATGATATTTTGTCAGAGACATTCCTATAAACCACCTAGATCAACAGATACACAATATAATTAGCCAATTTTTTTAATTAGTAAGTGGTAGATTGGGAGCAGTTACTGACTCAGGTTTGTTCTGAGTAATCAGCTGTGCAGTATTTTGCCAGATTATTGAGAGGGGAAAAATGATTAAGATACTAATTAAATGTGGCTCATGCAAATCGAGAAATTTCAAATAATTTGTAAGATACAAGATATGTAAGGAATATAAAGCTAATGTGTTTCAGTGGTAGGTGAGTAAAAATAATTGCACTGTATTTTGTGAAAAACAGCTCTGTGGTGTGGGGGAGAGGTAGGCTTATGTAGACTTGGTTATAAACAAGCATATTTTGACTTCTGGGCAGAGCATCCAATTATAAAATATTAGGAAAGTAGGGCACACAGTGAAGCATTTGCAGTTAGGGAGAGCTGCAGGATTTTTGCTGAGGGGACATTTTCAGAGGGCTTAATGACTGGGAATCCCTAGTAAATAAGAAGGGAATAGAAGAGCCATGTAGGTTAAATGTTACCAAGCACTTAGGCACGGAACCAAGTTACAAAATTATCTTCCCTAGGGAAACCGGATGTGAACTGTGAAAGGTGTTCCTTGTAAGTGATCTGTGGAAGTTTTGCAGAAATATGAGGTCCTCCAGGAATGCTTCTGAAGGATTTGGAAATGTGGCTTTCCTAATTTGAGGAGCTAATTTTATATACATACATTTATGTATAAAAGTATATACACAGGAAAAAGAAATAGGAAACTATAATTACATATTAATTGTCATAATTATAATTAATACTCACATGAACTATAATTAACACATAATAATTACATGTAAAATATCTTGACTGCCCATTCTTTTAACCTAACTTCTGTTGTGTACTGGCAGCTAATATCCTGGAAACCCCTGCTACTCAGTTTTTGTCATTTGCATAAATGGTTAATCACTCCTCTCACTAGTTCTGCAGCAGCGCTGGGCTGAACATTGCAGTGCTGTGTACCAGGGCACATGGGAGCTGCTCCTGCTCCACGAGAAACAGCAGGGGGCTGCCCCAGATAGATGAATGGATCCCTTTTTCTTTTCTGTGCAGTAGTACAATCTAACAGACTTGAATGAAATTTTAATTTACACCAAAGCTTCCTGGCTGCTTCAGTAATTTGTGGAGTGACATAACCATGTTGCCTGTCTGTTAACTTTTTGCTTCCCAGCTCTCAAAGAAGCTGGGTGGGTGTCCAGTTGTGTTCTTGAGATCCTGACATTTACTTTTCTGTACAGATTAAAAATAGCAGCTGCTGTTGGTTTCAGCATATCAGATGATTGCAGCAGAGCAGAATGAGTGGACTGCTGTCCTTCCTCCTGAGGACATTTGCCACTGGTAACCTGAAGAAATTTTCAGTACTCACATGTTTCAGGAGCACAAATAAAGAGGAAAAAAATGGTTTGTGAATGTATGAGAGGAGGAGGAAGGATAGGAAAGGGAAAAGGCTTGTTCTGTTACTTTTTATTTGACATGTGATTAGACTTCACTTGCATTCACGCAGCATTTTAAAAAAATATGTACTCAGCCAATACTGTTACTGCATTCCAGTTCAAAAATGAGCACAGCACTAATAAAACACGTGGAGAAAGAGAGGGTTTTGTGTTGGCTCTGAGGTCATGGTGTGTTTTCAATACACTTTTCCATGGGATTACTTGTGATTTAGCTGTTGGAGCTTCCCGTACAAGCAATTGAAAAGCAGATGGATAAAGAATATATATGAGTGGCAGTGACTCTTAGGTGTGTAGAGGATTTTTACATCTCACTCTTCAGAGGGAACAAAGGATCCCAGACAGAAAGCTAACTCCTAAAGCTCCATGGGTACTGCAAGCTCTGCAGTACCATTAAAAACTCCTGTAGATGTTCTAGAGTTTGGACAGAACAAATGTAGAGCAAATGAGGCGGGAAGTCTGTTCAGGAAAACCACTGGCACAGGAAAGAGTAGAATATTAAACTGCTCTTATGAAATTACAGAAATACAAGTGGTTAAACATGTACTGCATAGTTCGGACATATTTTTAAACTTACCTGTGGCACTGGGAGGTTTTATTAGAATTATTTCAGGCAAATAGACTTTGCTCTGATTCCTCCACCTTTATGTGGACCATTGGCCTATGCTGTATGTGTTTGGGGACATTGGCAGAAACCGGTTAAGACAGAAAAACCTGAATTGCAGCTTTGCAGAATCAGTGAAGGAAAGAAAGGCATAGGGAGGCATTTGTGTTGCTACTGGTTTATTTCCATAAACAAAAGTTAATAACATAGGTCTTATCAGCAAAGTGCCTGTGAACTATCAAAAGTTCTTCCCAGGACTGGAGTGGCCAAGTCCAGCGTAAATGTTTCTGTCAACATATAAACCCAAAACACAAATTTCTTAAACATTTCTTAAATTTCTTCTTCTCTGCATGATTCTTGTGTCATACTGTGGCATCTGAATACTTATGACTTGAAACTACATCTGTTTCTTCCCTTAAATATACCCAAAGCAACTCATTTATAGAGCTGAGACACTCATTATTCAGCCTGCACCTTGGTAATGAAAATGCTTACCAACTGACAAACAGGCTGTGGACTGACAGCCAGAGTGCTCTGTTCTTAATTGTGAATTTACCAGTTACTGCGGGAATGCAGCTCGCTCTTCAATCCCTGTCTTGCAGGTAAATTAAGTAGGAAGAGATGCTGCCTGAGGGATCTGTCATTTACTTTCTTTCAGAATTATTCTATGAAAAGTGAGATTTTCTTGGCTCAGAGAAAAGAGAGGAAAACCCCTACCTTAATGGCTAGGTCACACTTTATAAGATGGGGAGTAGCTGGCTTCCAGCACCCCTGCACAACATTCTCTGGGGAATTTGCATTTCCAGTTCGACTGGACCTGGTCTAAAAGCTACAGGTTATTGTGGTGGTTTGGGTTTTTTGTTAAAAAAACCTGTCTGGGTGTTGTGTGGACTGGGAGTTGTGCAGCCCCCACACAGGAAGGAGGTGGTGGTTATATTGAACTGTCTATTAGTAACACTTTTGTAGTTTAAGTTAGCTAATCCTTCCTTGAGAAGGAAGAATGAGTTGCCAAAAAACATCAGAGAGAAAGAAGATATTTCTGTAGGCATGAATGAAGTGTTTGTGCAGAGGTATCAGCCTTGGCTGAAAGAGCAGCACCCTATGACCACAGTGCAGAGATCTTCATGCTGTGGGTTAATTTACTTCACCTTGGGATTCTTGGGCTCAGCATGCCTTTATACATTCAGCTGCAGAGGACATGCTCTTCAATTTCATGAAAAAATCACGTGCACAAAATCCTGAGTTTTGATTTCTTCTCTCCAAGATTATTACAGTCCTGCAATGTTGGGCCTGAAAACTGATCAGGAAGTTCTTGGAGAACTTGTGAAAATGAAAGTTCCAGCTGTGGCAGAGCTGATGGAAAGACATGGAGTCATGTGGACCCTAGTGGTGTCACGCTGGTTTATATGCCTATTCATTGACATTCTTCCAGTAGAGGTAATTGTAACATAAAGTTCTCTTACTACACCCCTAATTATTTCATTTGTACTGCTTTAATAATAATTGCTTACTGGAAATCACGATTAATCTGAATTCACTCCTTTCTTACAGACTGTGCTCCGAATATGGGATTGTTTATTCTATGAAGGGTCAAAGATCATCTTCCGTGTGGCCTTAACACTGATTAAGCAAAACCAAGCTTTTATTTTGGAAGCCACAAATTTCCCTGACATTTGTGATAAATTTAAGCAGATCACCAAAGGAACATTTGTAACAGAGTGTCACAGCTTCATGCAGGTAAATTCTCTGCATCTTTTAGTCATTCAAAAACAAACCCAAGTCTGACTTAGAAATGTTTTTCACTGAGCAAAAGATGAATAGAGTTAAGAGAAACATAGCTGTTGGGATTGTTTTTTAAGTAAGAGACTCAAACATTTCTAATAAATATGTTAATATGTTAACTAATTTCTATTTAATAATTATTATCAATTCAATAATGTATTTAATAGTCATTATCCAATTCCATATATAGCAATACATCCACATTATCTGTCATACAGAGAAAATAATTATTTTTTTACCTTTTTACCAGTTAAGGCAGGAAGTCTGATGAGAAAATAATTTTAGTGTGTTTTTCCAGTGAACTACGGTTATTGATCCTGTGCTTTTTTTCATATGAACTGTTAATACAGTGTTGTAGAATAAGCACAAAGTGAATTTTAAGCTTACACTGATAAATGGCTGTAGTGCCCAAACACACAGCATTCTGTTTAGAACAAGCTGGTAGCAGCAGGTTCCCATTTCCAGACAAAAACTCATTAAGTTGAATGTCCAAGTGCTATGACAGTCTGCAATCTAAGAGTTATTATTTTAAATTACTAATACAGTGGGTGCCACATCAGTATAAAACATTAGATTCAGGATGATGGAAACATCAAAGGTGACAGCTGCAAAACAAGTAACAGGAACAGTCTGTCATAAATCACGTGGTCCACTCCATGTCATTGTTTGCTCAGTGTGAACAAAACAATGTCCTGGAGGGTGACATTTACCCCCAAAGTCTTTCATGCTCATGGCACATCTCTCTGCATAGCTCAGTCACAGTAGGATGTCATTTACACTAACTTTCATTATTGTTCATATAGAAGAAAAATTAGCTTAACTTACTGACACTTTTAAGTCGTTTAATTAAAGGAGCAAGAAAAACATCACAGGTACCGCTTTAATTTAGAAGGGAGATGTTTGAGGGTTTTTTCCATTCCATACACGTTTAGAATAAGAATTTTATTAAATTTTAACTACCTTAAGAACATCTGTTCAGACTTCCCTCTCCCCTCTTTAATTGTGTTAAATTTTACACCAGCTATTTTTAGAAAATCAACCACCTTTTTCTTACAGTTACCCTGAGTAGAAGAATTTTAACTGTTATTTACCATAGTAATGGGGCTTTGAAGGCAGTTAGATAAACAGAGGTTAGGTTTTTCTGTAACTTTGAAACATGAACTTTTGAGCTTGGATGTTTGTTGGGTTGGGCTTTTTTCAGCAGTACAGGTATTAGTACCAGTAGAGGTGATGACAAGTACCTTTGTGCCTCCTCCCCCAGAAGAGAACCTTAGTTTTTTAGCCAGAAAGCTGTTCTGAACTGGTTCAATTACAGTCTCATCTCTTGAGCTGTCATTTAACAGCTCCAGAGAACTGAGGTACCCACACACCTTAACTGTAGCTTGAAGTGCATAAACCTGTAGCTTTGCTTCACAGTTTTATTCACTCAAAAGTTCCAGGTGAAGTAGTGGAAACAAATGTATTTTTCTTGAACAAGTGAAAACAAAAGCAAAAAAGTAATTGAAGATGTGTGATGGCATTCAGAATGCATCAAGTTCTTATATCCATATTCATTACTCCCCTGGAAAGCCTGGTAGAGGAGCAAAGGTAGTGTTGGAGGGATTAAAACTGATTTTTTGCAGTAGGATCACACTGGTTTCTTTGTATTCCAGAGCCTGAACCACCTTTGCTAGCACCATACAGGAAGTGCACTGGTGTTTTGTCACATTATCCAGGGCAGTGTAGTATGTTCTAAATATGCCACTTTCCACCACCTGCCATCTAAAATAATCTCAACTGGACACACATTCAAAGCAGATTTTCTATTGCTGCTTTTGTGTAATTTTCTGCACTTGTTATGAGCTGCAGGTTTACTGTGTGTTTACAGCTCAGTAGATTAAGTTACCCTGTTACAGGAAGGCCAAAGAGCAGTGAGCAATTTCATAGTATTCCATCGAAGCAGGGATTTCACACCTCAGAAAATATGTGAGAATTCTAGCATGATGTCCAAAGCCAGCATTTTAACTAAGAATTTTCTTCATTTGCCCTCAGAAAATATTCACGGATCCTGGAAGCTTATCCATGGCAACAATCGACAAACTCCGAGAGACTTGCAGGGAGAGGTTGCTTTCTCAGGGATAATGTGCCAGATGTAACCAGGTGGTCAGATACTACAGCAATTGACACATTCCTCTATTTCCACTGATTAAAGCACACTTTAAGCTTTCCATTAATTAATTGACACTTGACCAATTTTTCCTGCCTTTCAAGTAAGTGTGTTAACACTTTGTACTGTATGTCAGATTTGATATCTGGAACTGGTGGTTCTGTTATTGTTTGTTGGTGGTGTGTTGTTTTTATTTTTTAAGGATTATCTCTTCAGACTAGAATGTGATCAATGTCAGGACCCTCCTTTTAAAAAATAGTCCCAGGGAATTTTGTAATATTAAAAGCAAACAGATGTATAAAATTATGTATTACTGTGTTAACTGTGACACCATTACCATTTGTACAAAATAAATTAATTTAATTTGTCAGAACCTGTTCCTTGGTGTAGAGAATAAAATATGTGATGCCAGTCATTGGCTGGAATACACTGTTCTCACTTAAGGAACTCAAATACAGCTAAGTGCAGGGCAAGAGAGCAATCAGTGATCTTCACTGGCAGTTGATCTATGATGTGTGAGACAGAGCAGCTGTAGTGCAATTCTCCCATGGCTATGTCCCTAAAAATTTGAGGAGAAACATTTCTAAAGATCATCCATGAACAGACTTCTTTCACAGGGGAAGATACTGGTAGTTCCAAAGTCTGCACTGGCACCAGGCCACTTCCAGCTCTGCTGGGGCCAGGAGTCTGGGAATTGCTTTCTTGTCCATACAGAGCCCTCTGGTGGCCAAATCCTCTCCTTCCAGCTGGGGAAAGGAGGAAAGACAACTGGAGCACTGTGTGGGGTTTTACAGTCCCTGTGCAACAACTACTGTGGCAAGCCTCACCTTTTAACAGCACAATCCTTCTCAGACTTTACTCCAAGCTCTCTGCATGCCTTGTGAAGCATGGCTTCCCCCTATCCCACAAATTGAGATTTTTTCATGCCTCAGCAGGAAAAAAAAAAATTCATCTTTTTCAGGGAAGTAGAGGAGTGCTCTTCTAGACAACTAAAGACTGCTACTCACAGCAGTGATTCTGAGCTATCCTATCCTTTATGGTACCAGACATACGCCTTTTTCCTCAAGTACTGAATTATAAGGATAGTAGCAGTAACATACTCCTAGTATGTCAGCAGGTATTAGGAAACACTATTCACTACTAGCAGAATTCATAGCTTCCAGGTACCTTCAAGGTCACAAGGCACTGGTCCAAAGTACAGCAGCCTTACTGCCCTGCATTACATTCTCTTGGTCACGAGTGTTCTGTGCAATGTTTTGGTGTGCCCTTGTTGCACACTGCCCTCAGCAGATGTGTGTTTCCTACTTTGTGGGAAGAGGCCAAATTCAAAATCAAACATGAAATGTCATTTACACAGTCCTTAGACTAAGAACCTTAGCAGCCCAGTCAGCAAGCGAGGCTTAGCCAGGCAGAGCGCTGTACTGACATGTCTCAGGAAGTGGCAGTTTGAAGAGTTAACTTCTCCAGGTCTCAGGTTACCAACACATAGCTTTTCTTGTTTCCAAACACAAAGTGCAAAACGAACCTGATTCCAACACACACACACAGTTAAGGTTTTCCTTTGTGCCACAAAGAAAAAACTTAAGCACTTGTTTAACTCCACACTAAAGAATGTTTGAAGGTTTCCAAGTATAGCCAAACCATAACTTCAGCCCTCAATAAATGGTCAAGAAATGGTTTTAAGAGTGATCAGCAGTACAAAGAAATACAGAAAAAAAAGTCTTTATTAGCATTGTTACAGGCAATGCATACATAAGAACTGATCCTTAAAGTGTACAACCCCCCAGCCAAGTTTAAAGCAATAGAATCAGCAGATTGAAATCTATATTGTACACATGTGCAGTAACAGGATCTCTCTGAACCTTCCAACAGAATAGACTGAAATCACTTTACAAAAAAAAGTAAATAAAAATAACACCCATTTTAAAAAAGTACCAGCTCCTAACGAGCTGGCATAGCATCAAAAATATCAAACAGGGGAGTTGTCCAATCATAAAGAGTTCCTGTAAGGTTTGAGTATTGCGTCGTTCACACCCTGCATGTGCCAGGCATTGAGTTTAAAGCTTAGTAAAAAATACACACCTAAGAGACAAGGTGAAGTTCAGATTTTAGATTTCAATTTTGTCAGTTGTTACTACATTTTTTCAAACGCATCATCAGTATACTTATCATCGCTCAGTGGCAGCGGTGCAAATAATGAACCTTTTCCCTTTGTTAAAAGTTCTGAAATTGAGTGAGAGTTAGCAACATCCCTCTCTGGAATCTGTAGCTGACATGATCTTATGCCAATTCCAAAAATCCACCCTTAAAAACTTTTAGCTTGTTTCTAAGTGGGTAAATATTAAAACTAGTTAGCAAAATTAAACACCAGAATCTTCAGAAGTTATTTTTGTGCATAGTTAAATGCTGCAAGATGATTTCACATTTAATAAAGCAGACTTTAAAGAAGCAATTTGCAAGAAAAGATGTTACCTTACAATATCAACCAGTTCAGGGGAAACGAAGGGGGATTTTTCTCCCCCAGCCTCTTGCAATTGCTGTTCATCTATGCTGGATTTTAGTGCAATTAATTAAATTGTTTGATATCCAGCATGGCTCCTCTTTCTGCCAATCAGGTAAGCAATCAAGACAATTAGAACAAGACCAGCAAGGGCTGCACCAACTATTATAGGGATCAGCATGTTATTTTCATCCAGTTGACATTCTTCCACTGAAGAGAGAGAAAAAGATCCATATTAAGTACTAGTGCACCAACAGATGGCTACATCCAGAACTTCAGCATTCTGCTCTCAGCACATAGATAAAACTGGCCCAGCTAGCTTGCCAACAATGAAAAGGAAGCCAAGTCCACTAGCTATGATCATTCACGATGAAGTCTTTCTAGTACCAGCTGTATACACAATATGGAGATTATACTGATTGTTTCCTCCTCAGGAACTGTTAATTATACACAAATTTAGCCATCATAAATATCCATGTGACCCTTCCCACAGTCATTTTGCTTTCATCATAGTCACAAAGGACAGGTTTGCCCCTTTCACACAACCGTCTGCACACAGTTTGGAGGGAAAGGTAGCACCCTTCCTTAACTCATCTCTGAAACATCAGGAACAAGTCCAAGTTGTTTCAAGGCTTTTTACACACTTCTCACACTAGCCTCAACTCGGACATCTCAATCAGCTCCCACATCCATCTGTAGCGGGGCATGCAGAGACTAAGCATAGCACCCACAAGCTGACATTTGACTACAAAATGTTATATTTATACCGAAGGATACTTCACAGATCCTGTATCTGACAGGGGCTGCCAAATGCAAACCTCTTACCTGGCCCAAATTTGTCTCCATCAATCTTGAAAATCTGGATCTGAACATTAAATATATTGACAAGGGCTTGGTCCGTGACCTGCAGATTCTCCTCAGAACTGCACTTGTAGGAGTTCCCTACTGAAGCTCTCAGCTCACTCATGCTGTTGTTTGATGCTTCAAATTTTGGATCTGTGTAAGAGAAAGTCTTACTATATAAATCTGAAGAGCAGGAGCTGTAAGCTCATAGAGCTGCAATTTGATACACTCATCCCAAACATTTCTCATACATTATTTAATGCAGGCTATCCTATTTACAGAAGTAATCACAGACAGTAGATTTCTTAGAAGTCCTTACTTTTTGCTTCAGAAGGCAGGGTCGTTCTTACACTCACACCTTGCAGGAAGAATTTTTCAGCACTTGCATTCTTAAAAAAAAACAACAAACAAACCAACAATCAGTAGTTGTCATTTAAGATGATGATGTACAACATAAGCTGTTCAGGTTCCATTCTACATGCATTTTGAGAAAGGTTTATAAAATGTAGATGACAAATGGGATTAGCACCCAGAGGAGGTGTTCAGCTGGACTTTAGCTACATAAAGCATGCACCTTAAGGAAGATGATTTTGTGAGAGGGCAAAGAGGCAGAGAAAAGGGCCTTGTCACCCCCGAACTGTTGATTTGACTTCCACACTGCAGGCATAGTCCCACCCATTGCTTAAGCAGCCTACTTGCAGTGAACTTGGTACCCCACAGAGCTGTAGAGTCATCTAACAGTAACAGCTGAAGGTGATTAGCATTAAAAGAAGCATGAAGCTCTGACAAACAGTGGATTCAGTCCTCGAAGGTACACAACTCCAATACAGCACCTGGGGCAGGACTGTGGGAAAGAGGGCTCCCAGCCATTATTGGAGACCAGAAGACAAGCATACTTAGCCTTTGGGCTGTACACAGAATATTAATGAGGACTTAAATCCAGCTCCAGGCTTAAAATTAGATGAGATGCCTACTTGTCACAGGCTGCTCCCAGTTTCTGCAAGAAGCCTAAAAGAGTAAGCAACACAATCTTCAAGGAAGTTCCCTCTCTAAACAAAATACTTTTCTGTGCACAAATATGTGTGTATATATACATAAACGTACTCTTTTCACACAGTGGTTACCAAGCATAAAACCCACAAAATCCTGTACTAAAACCAAAGGAACTAGTTACTCCCCTTCCTGTAGCTGTTTTTTCTCCTCTTGCATTTGCCCCAGTTAGTTTTCCCACATGGAAAGTCCTGCAGGCCATACATGCTTGGTGCAGAGATTCTTACCAATACAAAGTGGAAGACAATCTTTGTTTTCTCAAAAGTCAGGTTCAACAGGGCAAATGTATTCTCGCATCTCCCAGAATAAGTTGTATTACGTGGTATGAAATTCAGCAAATCCAAACCCATCTGTGAGAGGAGAGGAGCAATTATGACACTTGAAGAGGCTGAGCACATCACCATACCCACAGTGGAGGTGTAGCTGGCTTGTGTCTCGTGTTTGCCCTATGTTCCACCCACCAGGGCAGATCTGTGCGCACATTTCAGGGTGCACCCGAGTTACCAGGCTGACAGACAACTAAGGGCACATCTAACAAAGCTTTCTGCAACCCTGACTGGCTGCAGCCAAGAACCCACTGCTTTTTCCACACGAACTGCTTTGGTCCTTGCAGCATAAGGAAAAACATCAAGAACCACCACACTACACAGAGGGCAAGATGCTATAAAATACTGCTTTGATATAAGGTAGAAGCAATGAAGGGGACCACCTGTCAGCACAATCATCTTGCATGTCATTTCCATTCAAAATGTTTTAGTTTTGTCCATGGTTCACGATTTTATACTGTCTTGCATCTGCAGAAGGGTGTAGGTTAAATGCACTTGCCAAACAATTAAATAGAAACCCTTTCATTAGCTCTTAGCTGATCCTCATGTGACCAGAAAACCTACCTGCCACCTCCTCAATGGTCATTACACTAAAAATCAGCAGTTCCACAAGAAGCAGAACACCAGAATCAGGAAATTTTACACAATTAA